CACCTATACTTCTAAAGTGGGCCAAACTTAGTCCTGATTCATCCTGGGCTAAATGTGATACGTTACACAATTACACATGTGTGTTGGGTTGTTGTCTCAACAATGTTTTGACTTGTGTTAATGTTTAAAGACAATACAAAAACCACTGTCTTAGCAGAGGTCAAAATATTTCTGTGATCATGACTTGAAGGATTCAAGTCCTCTTGAATTCTGTGTATAGGATGTCTTTAGGAATAAACAGTTTGTCTAAGTCTCTAACATCCATGCATAAATTTAAGGTATCACCTTTTCAATGCATAGCCAATAAAGGATATAGTGACTTCTACCTCTTACTTATTTTCTAGCAAGGTATTTGCTATTGACTAGAACTAGCAGGCAAGCCTTTCTTGGTGAGCCTTTAGCAGTCTTATTAACTCAAATTCCCAAATATCTTGCAAAGCCCAGTTGAACTATGTACAGTGAAGGCAGGGGATTCTTGAGTAGCCCTTCTCCAACTACTCCCTAGTAGGACTCTGCAGGGTGTTACAGGGAGAGGCATCCTGGGAGTTGTAAAAAGCCTGTGATATGGTTTGAAGCCCAGGTATTTTGGGTTGCTGAGTTTAAAAACTACGGTCATGGTGAGAAAAGGACATTGTTTGCTGGGCAGCAGCCTCTCTTTCTTGACACTAAGTCTATTACAGATCAACTCTGTGGCGCATGATATAACATAGTAACACATGAGATGGAAACAGCACCAGACTTTGGTTGAATCTTTCTGGGCTCCTATCAAAGTTTATATATTTTACATCCCTTAAAAAGTTTCTAATTCTTCAGTGAATCTAATGTCTAGATATCTGGAGATGGTTTCTTTTCCATTCATCTCTCTCTCTCAACATTTTTGGTTCTCTACTACATAATGCTGCTATTTTCCTCCATAAAATTGCTAACACACATGGGTATTTTCAAAATTACTCAGTACTTTCCCACCTATGTCCTGCAGTTAAATACAGCATTCTTCTGAACAAATGTTTCCAAATGAAATTTTAAATAGCAGATTTCCTTCGCTGCCTAAAGTCATGTTTTTTGTCATGTTGTTCCTGGTAATCAAGACAAATATTGCTTCACTATAGCATGATCACTTATGCTTTAGATCTGTGATTAGTTTCCTCAATATAATACTAGCACCTCTCCTCAACATTCCCTGTTATTACTTATGCAGCACTGGCCATGACTTTTAGGAGAGCTTTTCCACTACCATTTTGAGAACAAATGTCATTCTCCTGCCTTTAAACTTCCATAGAATTTAGGAAACAATTTTTCTAAGTAACCATTTTAACGATCTTCCTCCATTCCTATGCTGTTTTGGTGTAGCTAATGAACTTTTCTTTAGCAATGTACATGCTTCAATGTTTTTGAGGTCATGACTTTCACCCTTTTTCAGAACTGAAAAGGTGTTTACTGAGCTCAGGATCCCTCTCAGTGGTACAGTCCTTGCATCTGCTTCATTTCTCATAGAAGATCTGCAACTACTACTAAATCCAGGTTTAGGTTTATGTTTCCCATTATGGAATTACAAAAGAAAAACTGAAGAAAACAAGCCAATACTATTTTAGCATGCTAAAATGCTTCTTCCCAGATGTAAAGCTTGTTTTTTTGAAGGTCTCCTGTTTGATCCATGAAATGTAACCAAATCTTAGAACCCCTTGAACTGCCACTTTTGAATCACTTTAGCTGTGTCCTGATACAACTCAGCAATGTGGTTTTCATCATAGTTTGTCTTCAAAAATCTCACATGAGAGCATATGAGATCATATCTCTAGACCAGTTGATCCTAAAATGCCAGCCATAACAGCATTTTCTACAGTTTTTGTCTTGGGATAATCTTTCTGTGACTAATTTTCACTTCAGTATTTTAGTCTAATAAAATATTTTGCTTGTTTGTAATCATCATTTGGCCTAGCAATTCTAGACTATTACACATATATGGATGGCAGAGTGTAAAAAATCTGAAGCAGATTTGTTACAAACTCAGGTGTGTTCTGTGTTTTTTCATCTTGGTTCTCTTCACTTTTTCTGCAGGTACATTGGCAGTTTCATCCTGCAATAAATTTATAAGCTTTCTTTTGAGTTCCTGAGAAACTCTGTCTTCCCCAAACACCCCCTTCTCCTAAATCTGCTTTCCCCCCCTCCTTCTGAATGATATACTGGGGTTGCTAGTTCAGGTAAATAATATGAGCTTCCCCTGCCATTTTTCTAAGATAGGGTGAACCAGATTTTTGGAGGTTCCCCCACCATCTTTTACAGTTGTTTGATCATCCCCCAATTTTCATCTGTGATTCACCTGGTGGGAGGCACATAGGCTGCTGCTCTTCAGCAGCACCTTTCGAATCATCCTCCCCCTGAATTTCTACCCCCACCAGATGGAGGTAGAATCTTGGGATTATCATTAAATTTCACTAATTACAAAGGCCTCGATTTTAACAGGATCAATATCTTTTGTACAAATTATCACTCGGCTCTGGTGTAGTGAAAAGATAATGTAAGAGCAAACTAAATTTACAGACACATAAAAAGTAGTGCCTTGGCAAAATCTTGGCTCTGGGGATTAGTAATAAGAATAATTATTATTATTATAAGGGAGACAATGTTAATCAATGAAGAAGGATAGATTAATTATTAACATAGTCTTATAGAAACAAGACCAAAGAGAATAGTTAACTGAGGATATTCCAGAGAAGAATCAGTATAAAAGGCATAAAAATACAGGGTGAGAAGGCAAGGTCAGCAGTGTTTCCACTGGTCCCAGTAGGCTCATCAAGCTGGGTTGAGGTGGTGACTGGGACCATGGAGAAACAGGGCTCCTCCTCTCTTGCATCACTCTGTGAGCACGTGTAGCACTGATGAGAATGCCAGGCTTCTTCCCCCATAAATCTGCTCCTGCCCTCTGCTGTGCAGCACAGCCCCTGCAAGGACTGCTTTGCCTTCTGCTGGAGCCAGACATGTGCGTTCCCCACGGCTGTGAGATTAGTCACACTCGTCAGAGTAAACTCAAACACAGTGGCAAACTTGTGGGAGACTGAAATTGTAGACTGAATGATCTCTGCCCCAGAAATGCAAACTGAGGAACAAGGTTTACATGTATTCAAAGGGAGCAGCAACTGCGTGAGTTAGGGCCTGGGAGGAGTGTGAGTTTGGGTCTCAGAATAGGACTCCGAAAACACAAAGATTGGCAATGCTTAAAAAGGGTAGATTAAGGCCTTGGTGAGGGAAAACAGCTACAGGGGGACATCTCTGAGGGATCCAGTAAAGGTACACAGACAGTGTGTGCCCTCAGTGACAAGCAGCAAGCAGCTGCATGTGGATAGTTTATAAATTACAATAACATAACAGCGGAGGAAAAGCCACAGGGAAAAACACACAAGGTGGAAGAAATAAAAAGAACAAGGGCTGTTACACAGGCAGTGGTGACAGAGGAATCTCAGTAGTTTGGCTGGGCAGGGGCAGCTGGGGGCACTGGGGTTTGTTTCACTTAAGGGGCCCCATCACAGAGCTCTGCACTGGCCAGCTGGGAGGAAGGAGGTAAGTTGATGGGGACAGCAGGGAGAAGCACAGCCATGGGCTTTGAGAGAGGGCCTGCACTAAAAAAGGGAGAAAGAAACATAATGCTCATGTGTTTTCTAGCATGAAAAATAACAAACACATAATTAGTGAGGCCACATCTGGAGCACCACGTCCAGTTCTGGACTCCTCAGTACAAGAAAGACAAGGAATTACTGGAGAGGGTCCAGCCACACAAGCACAACTTCTGGGGCACCTCTCTTATGACAGACTGTGGGAGCTGGGCCTGTTTAGTCTAGAGAAGACTAAGAAGGGATCTTATCAATACGTATAAATATCTCAAAGGCAGGTGTCAAGAGGATGGTGCCAGATTCTTTTCAGTTGTGCACAGTGACAGGATGAGGAGCAATGGCCATAAGTTAAAACACAAGAAATTCCTCCCCAACATGAGAGATAACTCCTATATGTTGAGTGTGGCTAAGCAGTGGAACAGGCTGCCCAGGGAATATGTGGAGTGTCTCTCTCTGGAACTGTTCAAAACCCACCAGGATATGTTCCTGTGTCATCTGCTCTGGGTGTTCCTGATTTATCAGGGGCATTGCACTGGATTATCTCCAGAGGTCCCTTCCAATCCAAATGGTTCTGTTATTCTGTGATGCCAGACCATGGATGTCAAGCCTGTGGCGGGGAACTTCCCTGGCAAGGCTGCAGGTAGCAGGCTGGGTAAGAGGGCAGCAAAGTGACTAAGACATGGTAATCTGAGGCATGGTCAGGGCAGGCATGGTGAGTGCTGGGTCCTGCCCTTGCCACAACAACCCCAGGCAGCTCCAAAGCTGGGGCAGAGTGGCTGGAAAGCTGCCCACAGGAAAAGGACCTGCAGGTGCTGATCCAAACATGAGTCAGCATGTGTCCAGGTGGCCAACAAGGCCAATGGCATCCTGGTCTGGATCAGTAATGGTGTGGCCAGCAGGACAAGGACAGGGATTGTCCCCTTGTACTGGTGAGGCCACATGTCCAGTGCTGTGTCCAGTCCTTGGCCCTTCAGTAGGAGGAGGACATTGAGGTGCTGGCAGAAGACCAGATGTGGCCAACAAAGCTGGTGAAGGGTCTGGAGCACAAGTCTTATGGGGAACAGCTGAGGGAGCTGGGGATGTTTAGCCTGGAGGAGACTGAGGGGTGGCTTTATCACTCTCTACAACGACCTGAAAGGAGGTGAAGCAAGAGGAGAGTCTACATCAAAAGGAATTTCTTCACAGAAAGGCTGACAAGATATTGCAGCGGGCTCCGCAGGGAGATGCTAGAGTCACTATTCCTGAAGTTGTCTAAGGAAGGACTGGCCGTGGCAGCGGGCGCCAACCACACCGCAGGTCTTTCCCAAGCCAACAGCTCCCGGGATTCCACGGCCCGCCCCGAGGGGCGCCCCCTTTCAGGCCCGGCGCGGCGCACGCGCGGCCCGGCGCGCAGGTCCTTCCTTCCGGCCGCCATCTCGCCGTGCCCGCGTGCCGATCCCGGCCCCGCGTCCTGCCCGCCGCCTCCAGCCGCGCTCCGCGCCCCTCCGCTCGCCGAGGTACCACGGGGGCGGCGGGGGGCGGCCGGGAGGGGAGCGTGATTCGGTCGGGGGCGGTGGGAGCGGTGGTGGTTGGAGAAAGGGACGGCGGTTACGGGCTGGGGCCCGGCGGGGAGCCTCGGCGGGGCTCGTCGGCTCTGCCCGCGATCGGAGAGCGCTCCGGCCCGCTGGCAGGGCGGGGCGGGGCTGCCCCCGGGCCGCGTGTGGGTGTGTGTGAGGGGCGGCTGCAGAGCCCCCTGCGCCCACGTGCCCCCACCGGTGTTCCCACACCCACTCTTGTTGTTCCCGCAGATGAAGGAGACCATCATGAACCAGGAGAAGCTGGCCAAGCTTCAGGCCCAAGTGCGCATCGGTGGCAAGGTAGGAGCCGCCTCCCTGCGCTGCCTTCGGGATTGCGTGTCCCTGCCCGTATGTCGGGCCTGACACAAGGGGTCCCGGAAACGGGTGTGTGGAGCAGCCCTGAGTGCTCTCAGCTTGGCTGGACTGTCCTCAAGGGAATCTGTGCTCCTTCAGGGCCCTCTGAAGTCACTTTTGTAGGTGAAATATGCAGTAGCTGAATCTCCAGGCGTTTCTCTCTGTGTATGTTTTGTTACAGCAGATTTAAAATTCTTTATTAAGGTGAATGTGAATCTAGTAATCAGCAAGGTCAAGTGCAGGGTACTGCCTGTGGGTCAGAGCAGGCCTGGTACCAGCACAGGCTGGGCATGAACAGATCCCAGTAGCCCTGCCCAGAAGGAATTGGGGGTGCTGGTGGCTGAGAGGCTGGACCTGCCCCAGCCATGGGCACTGCCAGCCCAGAGAGCCACACGTGTCCTGGGCTGCATCCAGAGCAGGGTGGGCAGCAGGGCAGGGAGGGGATTCTGCCCCTCTGCTCTGCTCTGCTGAGACCCCACCTGCAGGGCTGCATCAGCTCTGGGGGCACAGCACAGGAAGGACAGGGAGATGTTGGAGCAAGTCCAGAGAAGGGACAGCAGATTGATGAGAGGGCTGGAGCTCCTCTCATGTTAGAACAGTCTGAGAGAATTGGGACTGGTCAGCCTGCAAAAGGGGAGGCATTGGGGCCTAATTGTGGCCTCCTAGTACCTGAAGGGAGCCTACAGGAAAGATGCATCAAGACTATTTACAAGAGCATGTAGTAGCATGTCAACGGGGCATGGGTTTAGCTTGAAAATAGGTTTAGACTGGATATTAGGAAAAAATTCTTTACTATGAGGCCAGTCAGGCACTGGAACAAGTTTCCCAGAGAGGCTGTGGATGCCACATCCCTGGGGGTGTTAAGGGCTAGATTGGATGGGACTCTTGAGTACCTTGGTCCAGTTAGAATTGTCCCTGCCCGTGGCAGAAAGTTTGGAAGTAGATGGTTGTTGTAGTCCTCTTGCAGCCATCCTGTGCTAATTCTATGGGCTGTTTTAGAAAACGTGTGGGATGTAAAGTGAATATACCTTACAGCGGGTTTGGTTCGGTATAGTTTTCATAACAGGTCTTAGAGGTCTTATGTTACTGTTTTGTCAGAGATATTTATGTTGCTCAAGGCAGCTTTTTGCCTTTCTGCACAAATTTGAAAATTCTATATATTGTCATACTTTTTTAATTGCAGACTAATATAATAAGAAAAACTTTATTTTGTTATATTTGAATAGAGGTATTTGTGTTGTGTGTTTACTTATAATGTGAGAAAAGTATGTTCAATATGACAGTAAACATTTTAATTTCAGTGTCAGTCCCAATTCAGGAATTTTTCAGGAATCTTTCATACCTGAGGGAGTATACACAATGTTCTAGATTACAAATTATTCAACAGAACTCTTGCTAACGGAATTTCCAGGAGCTTTCATTCCAGTGTTTGGGGGTTTTTTCCCTTTTCTTTTTGCCGATTGCTGGAGATATAGGCAGCCTAAAGCAGGGTTTATGTAGTAATTAACCACCTTGGTAATTTTTGCATATTCTTGGTATATGTTAATGGTTAATTAGAGAACTCCTGTATTATTTTGCTGATTGTATGCATGTTAACCAGTGTGTGTTTATTGACTATAGAGGCTTTTAATGTCTGTCATGTGAGAGCATGCATTCAGATTGCAGTTCTTGCAGCTTGTTGATCAATATAGGGCTTTTATAGACATTAGGCAAAGCTTAGAATGGTAATTTAATTCTAAAATTGGCCTGTGAAATAGTTGGAATACCTGAACCTGCCATATTATTATTTTTTATAATGGGAAATTATTCCTGATATCTTTATTGCATTGTTGCCATGTAAGTTGAGATGGGTATGAAGGAGGTACATATTCCTCCATATTCCTTGATTCAAGATGTTATGTTCTGAAATTTACCAAGAATTTTGTTGTCCAGGGGGACTTAGCATATGCCTTATTTAGCTCAATTCTTGGGTAACAAGCCACTAAAATAAAGCAATTCTGTTACTTTTAGCAGTTTCCAAATCACTGTGTGTGCTAACCCAACAGTAGCAGGGTGTGAATATCAAGTTTTCTAGACAAAAACTTAAATGTTTGAGTGGTCATCTTCCAAGTGTTGGTTTCATATAAATTTGTCGCTGATGTTCCTCATTGTTGGTAACAGAATTATGTTAGATTTGTTACTGTCCAGCCAACTTTTAAATTTCTGACAGTAAACTGAAAAGGAATTGCAGCTATTTACACAGCTAGGCAGCAACACATTCTCTTCTTATTAGCATGAGGTAGATGAGCAGCCAGAGTGTGAGGGCTTATATTAGTAGTTACAGTTACATTATGTCTAAAACAAGCTTAGTTTCACTTTTTAACAGACATTTTATGTCAGATTTTTCTGAACCCTTGTGCAAGCAATTGGAGAATGACATTTTCTGCTTTTTTATATAAATAGATGTATTCTAATGTGGAACTTTTACTTCCCTGGAGAAATCTAGAGCTTTGGATCTGTAGGACAACTTAACCTTTACTTGTTTGGTTTCTAAACAGGGTTGGTCTAGAACACCAGAAGTATTATTTAAAATGTATTTATGAAATATTTTGGAAAAGTAGGCATTCTTCAAATATGTAAATCCATCAGATGAAAGATGGCTATTTAGAATAAAAATGGAGTATTTTTGGCCTTTCTCTTATTCATTTGTTAATGATGTGTTCATAGCCTTACGACCTCTGATTTTTACCAAAATTTGGCTATAATCTAAGAAAAACCTAATAACTTTTGGAAATTGCTTGAAACTGTTCATTCTTCAGTTTTATGTCTTGTGATGACTTGGGTTAAGAAGGTTAAATTTGCAACTCCCCTTTTCTAAGATGTTGCAGTAAAACTATGACATTTGTGGAATAAATACTCTGTGATGGCATTGCTTCCTAAAACTTTATGCTTCTCCTACATGTGCAAATCTTACCTAACTGCAAAGAGAAAAACTGCTGCAGTGCAGTTGGGCAGCAGGGTTACGTGCAGTGAAACACAGGTGCAGTATGTTAAGGTGATTTGTAGAGATTGTGAAGTAGTTATGCAGCCTTTAGGATCAGAGTTTGTGAGAACAACTTAAGCTTTATCTTGTAATTTTTTTTTTTTTTTTTGCAAAGGGTACTGCCCGCAGAAAGAAGAAGGTTGTTCACAGAACAGCTACAGCAGATGATAAAAAGCTTCAGTTTTCATTGAAGAAACTGGGAGTCAACAATATTTCTGGAATTGAAGAGGTAATTGCTTCAAAGGAAAAAAAAAATATTTAAATAGAAAATAGAAATAGTATTATAGAAAATAGAAAATGTATTAAATAGAATATGCATTAAAATCAATTTTCTAGTAAGTAACATAGCTCCTAAACTTGTCTGTAGATGATCAATAGGTCTTCCTGGAGCTTTAAGAATCTTTATTTCCTGTTAAATTGAAAAATCCTGTTCAACTGCTTCAAATACTGGATTTTTTTTTCTTGCAGGTAAACATGTTTACCAATCAAGGAACAGTCATTCACTTCAATAACCCAAAAGTTCAGGCATCTCTGGCTGCTAACACTTTCACTATCACCGGCCATGCTGAGACAAAGCAGCTGACAGAAATGCTGCCTAGCATCCTAAACCAGCTTGGAGCTGACAGTCTGACCAGCCTCAGGAGATTGGCAGAAGCCCTACCCAAGCAATGTAGGTTGAAACTTGAATGTATTTCATGCTGGCAGCTGACATGAAGCTTGTTTCTGTAGCAGCAGTGACATTCCCTGCGCTCTTGTTGTCGGCAAGCATGTTATAAAATCCTTATAAAGAAACCAAACACTTTAAAATCAGTTTTATTTATAGCTCAAACCCAATGGCAAGCATGACTCAGTCAAGCGAAGTCACCTGTTAGTGTGTCTTGTAGCTGGGTTAGCACTGGAAAATTGTAGCCAGACTTGATTTTCTGGTACTTTCCTTCTTGGTGTGGCTGTCATATTTTGACATATCTTGTTCATTGTAGCTGGGTGAATTAATTACTCTGTAAGTGTTAAGTTTTAAAGAAGGATAAGTTTGAGTATATTTCTTGACACTTGGAATGGAAATGTAAGTAATGGGGAGAGAGACATAACAGATATCTCGTGATTGCTTTTCTCCCTCCCAGGTGTGGTGCAAGTATTGCTTCATGGGCTTTTTGATAACGAGGAAGAAATTACAGGGTATTTATAAGGAAGTACATTACAATTTCAGTATGTGTAAAACAGTATAGAGAACAGGGCTGATATGAGCATTAAGCTAGATACACCAACTTCTATTTCATACTTTAAATAGTGAAAAAGTACGAGGATTTGTTCCTTCTAAAACTGGGAAAAGTATAGTAAGGACTTCAATATGTAGTGTTTGATAAAGGTGCTGCTGCTACAGGATGAAAATCAGGAGTGAAAGACTTGTTGACACTGGGAACATTCCTTGTGTCCTGTGTGTACAGTCTTCTACTTCCTGAAATATCTTAAGCCCATTTCTTCAAATAAATGGAACAGCCTGAACATAGAAAAAATGAGATAAAATCATTGTGCCTGATCTTTGGCAGTTCTAATTTGATTAATTTATTATTCTTCCTCTGCTTTGTTGCCAAAGCAGCCTCTCTTTACATTCCTAAAATTGATGGTGCCCTCCTGGCAACTTACCAATGAAAGAAATTTTACTAGAAGTAGTCCTCAAGATATGGAGTAAAGTGTTCTTTATCATGATCCTCAGATCCTTTCTTCTAAAGTCACCTGTGTGATAGTAATAGAGCTTGAAAGAAAAGAGTACTTTAAAGGATTTAGAATGATTGCTGGAGTTCTGTTTTCTAATAACAATGAGAAGCCAGTTATAAGAGGCTATATACTAAGCTAAACTGTGGAGTTTTAGAAGGAGGGAAGCTTGTTTGAAGTGATTGGTTTTTATGTTCTAATAAATGGCTGTTTCTTTCCACTAAGAATGGGTGCCAGAACTAGTTGCATAAAACTTTGTATTAGGCATCGTCAGCTAGGTTTGGAAGCCTAATATCAATGAATGAAGCGTCTGTGATGATTGCAGATGCTAAGGTAAACTTGGACTGGTCTTGGGGATGAGAGAGAATGCAGATAATTTAGGACAAAATAACATGGTTTGCTTTTCAAATGTTGTTTTTAATGTTAAGATGCATTTAAGATTTAACAACTTTCTGCTTCTTAAAAAAAACAAATGAAGGACAGTGATGTCCTTGTCTCGAGTCCTTTCAAAACAAAGTTTATTTATCAGTTCTGGTTCTCTAGAAATTAATGTACAGATCTAGTAAGAAACCATGTTTTTCCTCACACTTTTCTTAAAAACTGAGAAGGATTAATTGGAATAATGCTAAGGTAGTGGAGAGTAAGAGACAATGTGACAGTACAGCTAAGAATAGTTGTAGAGTATTCTTATTCTCTATACTCAGACACTTGAGATAGCATTATCCTTTGTAGCATTATACTTCTGCCTGGTTCAGCACATGCTCACTGGTCTGCTACAATGGAGATGGTTAAATCTCACTACGTCTGTCAAATGCAATAGGAATGGTTAAAGAAATTACTGAGTCAGCAAACATGTGGACTAGAACACTAGGTCGCCTAAACCACCTAAGGAGTGTAAAATTGTGCATCCAGTTCCATATTCCTTTGACTTTGCCAGAGAACAGTAGTACCTTTTAAGTACTTCTACTTGTGTCTGCCTGCAACTTCACAATTACACCTCAGCTTTCTTTGGATGTGTGGGGTAATAAGATCCTTCAAACTTCGTGATGTAAAATATGTAAATTTAAGAGCCATGTGGTAGTCCATAAACTAACCTACTTTTAGGAAAAACTTGTAAAATCAATCTCCACTTGTATTTGGGAGTTATTGTTGTGCAGAGTACTCAATATCTTTGTACAAGATGGTGACTAGTATGCTGTTTAGCATGCATCTTCTAATTTTACTACTGGGCTGTTTGAGCATTATCAGTAAAAAAGGCAATGTAAACTATTGACATTAGATAAAGAGTTTTATTTACAAAACTGGATAAAGCATTGCAGCTTGGCCCAGAATCTTTGATAATGTTTTCAAAAAACACAAAGCTAAACAATAACTCAAAATGCCTATGATGAGCTTGAATGAAGGTTTTGAACTACTTGCTCTTGCAGCTGTGGACGGAAAAGCACCACTTGCCACTGGTGAAGATGATGACGACGAAGTTCCAGGTGAGACCAAACATGCAGTGGTGGAGAAGGAAGTGAATTTTGCTGAGAGATCTTACACATAGCATAAGATCAGACCAGGGATAGTCAGAATGATGTCTAGTGACTTCTGTGGGCAGAATTTCTGTGGGCAGATTATTTCAATAATTTCAGATACTGTGAGAGACTTCGCAGTTTAAGCTAGCATTTTGGTCCTGTGTTGAAGTGATAGCTGTGACCAAGATCATTATTTAATATTTCATGAGCAGCTACCTTGTCAGAATCACTGCCCAGTCATGCTTTTAGAATTGTGCTTTTTAATGGACTGTCCAAAATTTCTTTGGTTGAGCAATATTTGCTCTGTATTTTACAAGCTGAAAGTTTTTATGGTAAAAACTTGATATGAAGTAGGACTTCGGAAAAAAATTCAAACCCAAAATGTTCGGCAGAGGGGAAATGGGTCAAACTTTTAATTCCAACAATCTTTTTCTAGATCTTGTTGAAAACTTCGATGAAGCTTCGAAGAATGAGGCAAACTGAACTGTCACCTCAAGTTTTAATTAAAACCTCAAGTTTTAATAAAATTAAAACTTGAAAAAGCTATATGGAGCTGCTATTTTATATTGTGACTGCCTTGTTTTATTTCCTGATGAGATCTCAAGATCAGTGATATTTGAAAACTCCTTGAATCTACAGCTCCTTAGTTACTGCTTGTACACTGTTATTTTTGTGGCCTGATTGAACAAAACAATGCTTTGAAATAAGTCAGATTGCTAACAAATTTCTGCCTAGACACATTTTTTGAGTAACTTCTACAAGCAAACACTCATCTTTAATGAACTTTGGCATACAATAAAAATATAAAACAAAGTTTCTGGTGTGACTTTTTGTCAGAAAATGGGGGACAAAAATATTGAACAACAGGTCCTAAATATTAAACAATCTTAAAATGTTTTGCTTTTCTGCAGAGCATTCTCCTTTTGCTGTGTTAAAAAGCTGGCTCCTGAGAAAAAGCTTTCTGTGCATAATGAAACCTTTTGGACTTAAATGGTGAATTTCTGGTATTGCAGGTTAGAGCTAGGTAGGCTATAAGTCAGTTTGTAACCTACTGGATTTACGAAATAGAATTGTATTTTAGCAACAGTTAATGGTGGCTTAATCTAACACAAAACTTGCAAGTTGAGGAAGAATTTTTACTTGCCAGCTACTTGCTGCTGGCCTTGGGGGAGCTACATGTGAGTGTTAAATTTTTATCTTCAGTAAGTGTTTAATAGATGTTTGCGCGGTACAACTGTTTAATGGGTTAAATAATACTATTTTAATTTTACTTACCTGAAACCATCAGTTATATGTGGAAATGAAGCACAGAAAGGAGGAAAAGCATTAATAAAATTGATAATGGTTCTTAAGTGTATTTACCAGCTTTGGATCTATTAACTAATAATTTGAATGTTTCAGGAATGTGTTGTTTTTATTGCTTTTTGGGTTTTTGTTGTGTTTCAGAGAAAAATATAACTTTCTAGGGCACAAGAAAGACATTTTGCATTCCATTCTGTCCTCTGTATAGCTGGAGTTTCTAAGGGTGAGAACTAAATTTCATGTTTGTGAGTCATTGATATTAATGATAGATCAGAAGCTTGCATGACCGAAGAGCACCCAGCTACTGGCCTCCTAAGGTTGTTTCTAGAGCAGATACTTCAGGAAGTGTAGATTCACCGTGACTTGCTGAGAATGAAATTCAAGGTAGGAGTTGCTGTACCCGTAGCAAAGCTCTCCGTGTTCCTGGAAAAGGGTGGGTCTGTGTCTGACTTGTCAAGCATGTTTGTCATAGTGTACATTGGGAAACAGTGGAGGAATTTGTTCAAGCCCTAGAACTCCTGTGGTTTGAGGTAAGCAGACTAATGTGGGCGTGTCATGGCTGAAGCCGGGTGCAAGAACTTTAGGTAACAATTTTAGAGCACTTGTCTTGGCTTACAAGTACTTCAGTGAACTGTGCTTGTACCATTGAATTAGCTTAAAAAGTGGATTAATTGAGTTGTGGCAGTAAGGTAGAAAAACTAGGCCTGTGTGAATTTGACTTTTGAAATAAGGATGGCAAATATAATTGCTGTGTATAAGGGAAAAAAACAAATTCAGCAGAGTAGCTTGCCAGACTTCCTGTGACCTGTTGAGTAAATAAATAACATGCTGGGTTTTTATGAGTGCGTTACCTGTTCTGTGATTCAGATATGCTAGTCCACATAAATTGTTTAAGCCATCATAGCCCTTATGAAATACTTTCTACTGATTTCTATCTTACGAAGTAACTTCGGGCCTTGCTTAGATGTTATAGACAGTGTTAGCCTTTTTCCCTCTAACACACATACATTTAGTACTTAAAAAATAAGATCCTCACTAGCGCAGTGTCTTTGAAGTGCATTGCACTTTGAAGTGCGATGTAATCTAGTGATCAACACCCATGTGACATGCCTGTGGAAGTCTTTGTGCAAGGTATGCTCCCCATACACTCCCAGTCAGGAAATAATGGCATAATCTGCATCTTCAGACTCAAACTGAGGATAAAGGTATGAGCAAACTACGTTCTTGACTATATTTATCTGGTAAGGTTTTAATATTCTTCATGTGTAACTTAGTGTTCAATCCTGGACTCAATGGTGTGAATATTTTTCTCTTAGTAAAGAGTTTAGTTATGGTTTTCCTAATCTGTCACTAATTACTAGAAACTGAGGATAGTTTCTCAACCTGATGTTTCTCATCAGGTTGAACTTCTGGGTAACCATACTGTAATTATGCTGTTACGGATTCATATCTAGTTGTACTCAAGGAAAATGGCTCTCCATTCCAAATATTTTGGACAATGGAGGAAAACAAATGCCTGTGTTTCTACTGAGTTTTTTATTTTTAAAAGGCTAAAGGAATGTTCAGGTTCTGTCACATTAAGCTCTGAAATAGCTTAACTCAGTGCAGTGGTGGGTTCTAGTGAAGTTTTTCATAATGTTTGGAACAGATTTTTGGAAATATTTTCATACTAATCTTATGCTTTAAGGGCTTTGCAGTGTTTTAAAATTAGTATATTCTAATATCAAAACCCAAACAACTGAAACCTTTTTGGAGATGGTGAAGCTGTGTGTTTTATTAGTGGTGTACATATGAAAAGCTTCTAACTATGGTTTTAAAGTAAGCCACATCTATGAGAGTTGCTGAAAATGTTTTCTACTGGATATGATAGTTGTAAGATCCTGACCAGTAAAGTTCTCAAAGTCACATTGCATTATTATTGCATGTTTATTCTTATTAAAGGCTTGTGAGTCTGTGGTTGTGTCTGTTAGGAAAAGTAATAATTGAGAATTTAATGTAATTTGTAATGCACATTTAACATACATGACAAAGGAAGAACATGCTTAAAATGTTCACAGCTGAATACTTGAAATTTGAAATCAATGTTTATGTATTTTCTTATATTGATTTGCCTGGAGTGTGGGGGAAGTTAAGTATAGTTGCCACCTCTCTGAAATTTTGTGCTGATACTGTGTTTTGTGGGTGAAACATCATACAGATAATTTACTTTTCCTCAAGTTGTCTACTGTATCTGCTGAAAACCTAAATGTGTAATGGTACGGTTGGAATAACAGGCTGTTCTCTCCTTTAAATGTGGGAATAGATTTGAACAACTTAGTAAACTGGAGAGTTAATATTCAACAGAGATATAGGGAAGTCCATGTTGATGATGACTAGATTACAGCCTTAAGTGACTGGCAAGATGGTGGTATATGTAAAAAAGAGAGATTTCTAAGCTGCGTATTTTAAAATATTAATAAGTACTCAACATGTCTTGCGCTTAACTAATACATGCAATGTGGCTTCTAATTTTTCTGAGCTATTCTTTCTTAGATGTGGCTGAAATGATGGAAAACTATGAGAGTTGCTGAAAATGTTTTCTGCTGGATAGGATAGTTGTAAGATCCTGACCAGTAACTGAGATTGGACTCTGAAAGGAAGTCTTATTTTACAGAAAAAGGAGCTTATGGTGCAGCTGAGCCAAGCTTACTTAGCTTGGGGGAACTGTCTGTAGCACGAGGAAATAACACAATTAGTTTGACTACAAGGTGAACTCAGTAACTTTAAAGATGGATGAAAAGTGGATGTATATATGGAAGCTCTGAGAATCAGGAGTATAACTATTTCTGTGTATTCTAATTGACTTTAAGCTGTGGTTTCTTGGTAACGTGGTACCTGCAGTTTCATCATGAAAGTTTTAACTCCTCTGCTAATACTCTGTCTTCATGTGTGGATTATCATTATAAAATAATGTTACTGAATGGAAGGAAGACATTTTATGTAGTACTATTACTGTATGGTCTTACTGTAATCTGGTTTTTTCTTAATAAGAGATTTAACAGATGTAATTTACATTACATTTACATTGCACCTAAGGTATCCTGGTAGTGAAAAAAAGCCAGTTGAACAATGTTTGTGTAATGCAGGGATTAGTAATACTTTAACAGATGAGTTACAGCCCAATGTTTTGCATTCGTAGTGAATCCAGACAAATCAGAACAATTGTTGACTAATTAGTGTTGTAATGGTATAGGCTATAATACGGTGCCTATGTCTGTAACCTCTTGCATGAGTGGAAGGCAGAATTCTAGGATATCTTGCTGCTAATCAGATTGATTGAAGCTCAGTTTGATCCTGCAAAAGCTTTTGGTTGTGATACCCATTAACCAAGATTTGCAACACGTCCTCAGAGAAGGATTTGATTGATGTGTGCTGCAGGTTACTGGCAGATAAATCTGCTGCAGTTGAGATCCTTATTCTGCAATTCCATTGAACAATGCCCTTTTTTTCCCCCTTCTTTTCTGGAAAAATGTAGTAATGGGCTGTATCCTACTCCAAATTTTTAGGGCACACATGAAGTTAACATTCTCTGTGTAAGTTGTACCTGAGTTAATAATGTCTGTAAGGATTATGCTGGAGTCTCAAAAATTTCAGCTCTGCATACCTGATAAGTATCCTGCTTCCCAACTTGTGGCAAGTGTTTGTGCGTATGTGTTGTCACTGGCTTAAAATGATGCAATAAGATTAGGCAAGTTTTGAAGTTGTGAAAAGTATCAGCTGAAACGGAGGGAGCTGTGGGTTTAAGCTGCCTCTTCAGGGACTGTGACTAGTCCTGCTATTCTTTGCTGTTACTTCCAGTAACTACATCAGGCAAATGCAGATGTAACTGAGTATAGTCAGAACTCTCAACAGTAGCATCTCTCCACAGTGAGCTGCTGTTTTGTGATGGATTTCTAGTAACTGTGTAAGCAAGACTACTGCCACCTTTGAGAGCCCAGCTGAGGTGATCTGAGAGGGCTTCTTGCCCTATTGTGCCTGTAAAAAGAAAGATGGTTGGACATGCCAAAATTTATGCTTGTGTGACATTGGTGTTTGACATAACATCTGTGGTATTACACAGAGATTGTCACTAGTAGTCACAGTAGAGTAGAATGGTGTTAAAATGAATGGGGTGATGAATATGCTCCTTGTCTCTTCAGTAT